TGCGGGGTTCGAGCCCCGTAGGTATTGTCCCTTTCTTCTCTTTCCCATTGGCGTTGGCAGCGGAACCATCAGGGCACAGCTTGACAAAAACCAGAAATGTCTTGCACGGCCATATTCTAGCGCATATGGTGTTATCAACTTCCAAAGGTTTTCCCGGCTTTGTCCACCCATAGATTATTGAAGACACCCACCGCGGCATGCTACATTGCTCATTACTCAGGTCTCGACGAGCGGCGCCGGCGTGTTCGTTGGCGTTCGATTGGGTCAGAAATGCGATTCAAGTTGCAGCAACAGCGACAGGTGCGAGAGCAGCCTTGCGCCCGACACGGCATTTACTGCTCGTATTAATAGTAGCAGTACTACCTCAGTCGCTGGCGTCTCTGAATGACCTAAACAACGGCGTAACTTTGCCGCCGATGGCTACGCCTTGTCGTCATGGGTCTTACTCGCGGCCGCAAGCGCCCCCGGCGAGCGAATAAAGAGCAAATGCGCCCCCGCGCTGCCGCCTGCGCAGCCACGACCCGGCGAGCGAATAAAGAAGCAGATTGCTAGTCTCTACCAAGGAAATAAATTACAATTTCCTTGCCTCTACGTATGCAAAGCCTTTGTATTAACAACGAAGCTAACGCGATACTGCAATGTAGTACATGAAGCTCGAGCCATATGCCCGACTGCTTGTGGACACACTTTGAAAATGGATATCGGGCATTTCCCTTGGATTCATGATGCTAGTGGTCCTGAACCACCCATGAAACATTATCTTGGTTTGACTATGACCGCATCGTGGCCCTGGGAGGAAGGGCGCCACATTTCGTCAAATTTGGGTGTCAAACCTCGCTCTCGGCAAACTACCTAGGGTTTAATACCTAGCGTAGTCGAGTCATATGTTGAAGTTCAAGAAGTTTCTGGTTTTCAAGACGATTGCATTGCACACTTCGATTGACGTTCCAACCCAATGGTGGTCCCAACCCACGCGCCAATGGCCAGGTCCGATTGCACGCAGGAGGCGCCGTGCTACGACCCGGTCAACAAGGAGTGCGTTGCCGGCGATCGCGCGCTCGACAACGGTGCCGGGCTTGTCTTCTGCGCGCCGCTCGTCGGATCGTGCACCTACAAAGGGTGGTGCTACGACGTGAACTCGCGCTGCGTCTGCACGGGCGTGCGTCCGTGTTTCAAATTCACACAGGCGTACGGAACGGTCTGCGTGGCATTGAATGCCGAGTGCACCGCCGGCACGAGCATATACAACGAGCTCTGTCCGCCAAGCGACGTCACGGCCTCCCCGACGTCAGCTCCCACGTCCAGTGGCGCAACCATAAACAACACGTCGACACTGACACCGACACCGACAAGACAACCTTTGTCCTGGACGCCCACGCCCACGACCAGTCAAGTGGTCTCTTCGTCGGGATCCAGTTCGTTTTCGCGGATCTTCACCATCGGTGGCGTCATCCTCAGTGTCGTGGTCGTTGCGTACGTGATCATCCGGAAGCGCTGTCGCCAGCGCCCTGCGCCGGTGCAGCAATACTCTGCGTACGAAGAACCGGCAGCCGACCGACCGCCGACGCCCGTGTATGCCTACCCCGTGGCGACCCAGTCGTACAAGCCATCTACGGCAACGACCCACGCCACGAGCTCGACGCGAACGACGACTGTGCACTCGACGCAATCAACGGCACCGGCGGTTGCCGCCACGGATCCCGGCGCCTTCAACATGAGCGACTTGGAGATGTATCGCATCTCGGGCGCCGACGTCACGGTCGTGAAAACGCTTGCGAGCGGCGGCTACGGCGTCGTGTCGCTTGCGACGCTGCATGGCGCGCGCGTCGCGCTCAAGAAGCTCACGGCCGAGAAGGAGTCGTCGCCCGAGGACGTGGCCAAGTTCATCGCCGAGATCCGGCTCATGACCAAGTATGTCACCGTCTGTCCTCGTGACCGCTCATGTTGAGGACGTAGGATGTCGTCACCTTTTATTGTCGGCTTTGTGGGCGTTGTGTGGACGCGACCGACCGACGTCATGCTCGTGACCGAGTTCATGGACGCCGGCGACCTCCGCGACGTGCTCCAGAGCCAACCCAACTTGCTGTGGGCGACGAAGCTCTCGATTGCCTTCGACATCGTCCAAGGGCTCGTCTACCTCCACACACTCGAGCCCAAGGTGCTGCACCGCGACCTGAAATCCCGCAACGTGCTCCTCAACACGCGCATGGCAGCCAAGCTCACGGACTTTGGCATCTCGCGCGAGCTGGACGACGCGACCATGACCGCCGGCATCGGCACGTACCGCTGGATGGCGCCCGAGGTGCTGCAGGAAGGCCACTACGACGAGTCGGCCGATATCTATGCGCTCGGCGTGCTGCTCACCGAGATCGACACGCACGATGTGCCGTACGCAAACCTGCGCAACGCCAGCGGCCGGTCGTACACGGACACGGCGATCATGGCCAAGGTCATGACCGGTGAGTTCCGACCGAGTTTCTCGCATGCAAGCCCGGCCTGGTACCAAGAGCTCGGCGTTGCGTGCATGTCGCACGACCCAACGCTTCGACCCACCGCGATGCAAGCAGCCTCGACGTTGCATCGGGAAGTTCGCCGCGCCAATGGATAACGTTTCTAATATCGTTGCAAGGGGCTTGTATAGCTCGTTTCGATATCTCATATCTCATTTCTGGCTCGTCGTTGTCGTCGTCGCTGTCGACGACGACGAAAGCATCGATGTGTACGGTCTCGAAGTCGTCCTCTCCGAGCTCGACACGCACCGTGTCCCATTATGCAAATGCGGTCAACGACAGCGGCCGGCCCGTCTCGGAGACGATGCTCCTGCTCAAGGTATCATTGGCGCCCGTCGCTAAACGAAAGCCGCCCACTCAGTTATTTTGCTCGGCTCCCGCAAGCGTGCATGGCGCGAGCTACGTGGCGGTGCAGCGTGGCAACCCGCTCCGCCAACTCGACCAGGTTTAATACGCGATGCAAGAACGAGCGTTGAGTTCTCTTGTTTGGATGCCGTCGGTCGCTAGCGGCCAAGATCGCAAGGCGACCATACCACGCCCGTGTGTGCACCTGATGAGGACGAACCAGGTTGAGGTCATTTGGTTGAGGTGACAGAAGAAACCACTCGAACGCAGCACAACACAACGCATACCACTTTCGACACTGCAAGCACGTCCACGACACGTTATTGGTCGTTCTACGCCATTTCAGCATGCAAGCAGCCTTTGTGTGCGCTTCACTATTATACCGATGGAGGATTTGCTGGGCTTACAAGTAGAAGGCAGCATCATTCATTGTATGCAGGCCGCACGTCGCTGTG